ATGTTCTTTTTTTCTTGAAATAAAAAAAAATTGCCTGAGTTGCTAAAAGAATATGTACTTTGACTTAAAACACTAAGGTTCTGATTTAGAAAATAAGCACATAATTATTTTTTTAAAAAAAATTCTTGTAGAAAAAAAGCACTCACTGTGTTTTGAAATACAGCTAAAAAGGCAAATGAAGATATTAAGAAAACAAAAACTTCAAGCCTATACATCAAAAACCAGTGGGTGTATCCTTATTAATAAGCAGTCTGCTCGTTATACTAACAAATAGGAAAATTTGAATAAGGTAGCTAACACTATTTATAAGAACTTGATAATTTATTACACTTACAGTCCCTTCTGTGGACCAACAACTAAAGCATTTTGAGCCCCTCCCATCTGTGGATTACTGGAACCTTCTGGACCTGCACAATTTTGAAAGCACCCAAATGCTTAGACCTCCTTGCATACAAAAACACACACAAAGGAGAATAAAAAGCAAGAGAGAGAGAGAGAGAGAGTGAGATAAACCCCATGGTTTGAAAAAGTTTATCATGTAAACCATCCAAATATGAATCCTCTTAAGTAAATTTGGAACACGAATAGATGAACTACAGAGATAGTGGTGAATCAAGCAAATAAATACCTGGAAGAGCAAGAACACTTGAAGACTTTGAGGCCTCGTGATTATTATCTGATGGATTAGGTTGGTGCGGAGGTTGACTTGTTGCAGCTTTAATTCCTCCAAACTGAAAGCTTATCTATAGATCACGTAAATTTAAAATCCACAATTAACCCACCTCAAGCAAACAATCCCGATAGACAAATTCAATTGCAATCATATATATTGAAAATTCATTCAAGTTGTTCTCGATATTAACTGCCCATCACTGCAAAGAATGAAATTCATCTTTAAAGTAAGAAAAGAACAATATCCATATATATATATATATATATATATTATAAATAGAAGAATCTTTATTAGGGAAAGATAATTAAAAAATACAATAATAATATCCATAATTTTGGGAAGGAAGATATATAACAGGGAAAACCCCATCAACCAGATGGACATAGAACTTCAGAATTAAACAGGCAAGCAACTAAAAAAATAACTTCTTCTAACCTTGTGGCTCAAGCGGATTTTTTTGCTGCACCAAATAAAGATAGAAGCAATCAGCTAAAATACGCAAGCTCAAAACTCCAGAAAATAAATGAAAATTGCTAATAATGCAGAAATACATAAGTAATAATATGAAAAAGAAATACTTGATAACTTGAGAAAAGATAAGCAGCAACCTCTCAGGATCAGGAGCAGTGAATTGGCCATGGATAGGAGAGAAAAGATCCAGAGCTCGCTTTAGAGATTTGAGGCTCAGTTTCTTTAGCGACTGCGGTTCTACAGGCTCCATCTCCATTGTTGGTCCTGGCATCGTCTCTTCCACTAACACAATTACAGTGGTTTTCTGTGAAGCTTATTAATGCAGGTGTATTCACGACTTGAATTTTGTGCCCGAAAGATAATGGAGTTGCTTTCTTTCAAAATATATTAATTGTAACAAATTTATAATGTCAATCTCCTGCTAAAATGAATCTCACATTTAACCACTTGAGTTTAGGATAAACTTCATTTCATCGCCAGCAACCAAGATTTCCTCCAAATACCTAATGCAAAAAGGCAAAAAGGAGAATTCTTAAAGTCCGCACACAGACAAAAAATAGACATAAAACAACCAAGTTCTACGAGCAAGACCTAAATTCAGAACCCATTTAGCACAGATGTGGTAACTCTTAGTTACCAAAACCACATTCGGTCAGCCATCAAAGAAATCCATGTTCACAGGTTAAACCCGGCCTAGTAAGCGAAATAAAACTCACAAACCAGAGAGATTCGACATGTTCGCAACCAATCACCACATCATCCACCATACATAGATCAGAAAAAGAAGATAGAAATCATTATATCTGCTAGTCTTCCGAAAACACATACTAATATATACGAATTAGAGACTCGAAGCAAAATAACCTGAACACAATAGCCTATCCAACTAATCACCAAACAACAGATGAACAAAACCGCAAAAACAAGGAGTGGTTTCAGTAGTAACGGGTTTCAGATTAGAGCAAAACAAACCCACATCACCATAGATTAAAACGCAAGAGAATACGATAATTACCAGGAAAGACTATCCGAAGATGAAGGCGGAGCTTCGGCAGAGCAAGATGCCCGTCCGCCTGGGTGTATCTGAAGCACTGTTATTTATAATGAAATGTTTTTTTTTTTTTGTTCTCAAAAAAATATTTTATATTAAAACCTAGACTTATTTACTTCTTACTATTGACCATATCTCGTTTGAAATTTTTATGATATTTTATAAATTAGTCAGTTGAGAGTTTGGGATATTATATTTAAA